CTTTTTATGTCCCTCCCTTCAATATCTCTTCCCCTCCTTATCTACAAAAATTTATTCCCATTTTACCCTTTTTTCTCATTTTTATTTTTTCCTATCCTATTCCTATTCCCTTTTCCTTTTGAACAATTTCTTCCTATTTCACAATATCTATTACACATTTTGATTCTTATTTATACTTTTGGCTTCTCATACCAAAGAAACAATGTAATATTTACGCACACCTCCAACTAATTTCACTGAAGAGAATGGTCTAACGGTCTAAAACTCTTAATGGTTTAATTTTTCACAAAGTCAATATTTCTGAATTCTCCATAATCTGACATCAAATTATCTTTTATTATTTTTCATATGAGGTGATGTTTCATGATATTTTTAATTTTTTTGATAGTTTTTGACATTGAACATCTTTTCTCATACTTCTTGATAATGTGTATATCTTTGTTTAAGACCCATCAGTTCAGATTCCTTTTATGTTTTAAAACTAGATTACAATAAAACTTTAGCTGGTAAGCAACTTGTTCTGTAAGTGTTCCACAGGACTAACAAATATTTCTAATACATTTTAACTTGATAAATGATTAATGTCCTGCAATATGAGTAGTACATGATGCCAAATACCACATGATCATGACTGAGCCAAAGTTTGCCTCTTGTTAACTGGAATTATGGATGTTCATCTTCCAAGAGCAAGAGGTGATAGAAGGGATATTGTCTGCAAAGGAAGAGGAGAAGGCAGAGAAATCCCTCACTTTAAGTGAAATTAGAGAGATTTGTAAAATGTGGGAAAATAGCGCAAAATTTGTGGAAAAGCATTCCCTGAAGAAGGTGATGACAGTGGGAGTGATGAATCTGTTCAACAATGTGGTGTCACATTTATGAGAAATTCTCAAAAGAAGACAAAAGCAAGTCTCACTGGGTAGTTTCTGTGTTAAAACTGCATGAAAAGAAAAAGGTTCTATTGAATAGATAGCAATGATGCCATTAGTGATAATGAAAGTTGTCCTACATAATAACCTTCCTCCCTATTGTCTCCCTTCTACCAATCATGAAGATTTTCAAGGGTAAGTGAAGGTTAATTTGCTTACTTTACTTTATATTTTATATATTCCTTATTATTTTGTATCATATTGATGTAGGAGAAATTCCTGACCTACTATATCTGGGTATGAGTTCATGTACTCTAAAATTGAAGAATTAATTTTGGGAACCACTGAGGTTAGGAGTAGAAATATTTATTGAGAGAAAAGAAGTTTCTGTCTGACAGATGCAGAAAGGGTCCCAAGTGGGTTTCCAGGGACTCTTGGTAAGAGATTTCTATAGAGTAAAATCATGAGGTGAAGTAGGTCTAATGTGGGAAAAAAATGGAAACTCACTAGGCAGGCGGGCATGAGGTGGGAGAGAACTATGGTCAACCAATAAGTTTAATTGCTCAGGAAATATTGACCTAATCAGGGACAAATGGGACATCAAGTCATGGAGCAAGTGAGCATTCTTTATGGATCAGTGACTCTTCCCACAGGGTTTGGAATGGTCACTCCTACCTTCTCAAGGTGATTCATATCTAATACCTAATGTTTATATTCAGGGTGAGATTGCATTTGTTTTGCCTTCTGTCTTGAGATCTGGCCCACAGCAAGAAGTGTGTGTCCCCTCCAAAGTCATCAGATATATGGTCCACTGTGCCAGCTTCCTTGAGGGCCTACCCCTGTCTGACTGCCTATAATATTCCTAACTAACTCGGCTGCCTGCAACTCTTTCAGTCCATGGTGCTCTCTTGTCTTGGGGGAAAGGATGATATGGTAAAAGAGAACCACCCCTTCTCCCAAGAGAACATAATTCTCATTTCTGTGAAAGTGAAGGAGGTGTCTCAACCTTGATTCTGAATTTTAAGATATTCTAAATGGTATTCTTCTCTATAAATAGTTGCTGATAAGGTTTCTGGTTATGGGGAAGCTGAGTTAGGAAACTTCTACTTATCCATCCTCTTGGTCTCACTCCTGCGTGTAACTATTATGCTACAATTAGAAGGGATTTAGTCACCACTATTACAGTGTTACAGTATTATGATTGTGATAATAATTTTACAGTTAGTTTTTTACATTGTGTGTTTTCATGAGTGGCTTTTCAAGCTGAAAATTTTCCATTACCATTTCTTATAAATCACATGTGAGTAGTGAGAATAATCCCACAATTTTTGTTTTCTTTATCTCTTCTGTATTTGTGAATGGTAATGTAGCAGGAATTGTATTCTTATTTGACAGTTTTCTTTTACCTTTAGCACTATATCCTTATCCTTCTAACTGGCCTACAAGCTTTCTTCTAAGAAAACCTCCATTAGTCTTCTTATAATAGTTAATTTGCATGTGAAAATTTATTTTTCTCTTGGCTGGTTTCAATTCAGACTTTTTGTCTTCGACTTTTGTCACTTAATTATAATTCTCAATGTGCATTTCTTTGAGTTCATCTGACTCAATGTTTTCTGGGCTTTTAGGATCCATGTGCCCATTTTCTCCCCCAGTTTGTGAAAGTTTTAAGTTGCATCATAGCAAATGTTCTAGTCCTTTGACTCTTACTGATATGGAGGAATAAAAATCCCAACCTATTATATGTCTGGAATGAGTCTGTGCTCTCTAAAATTGAAGAATGCATTTTAGGAGCAATGGAGGTTAAGGGCAGAAGTATTTATTGAGAGAAAGAAAGCTTCTGTCTGAGAGAGAGACAGAAAGGGTCCTAAATGGGTTGCCAAAGTTTCTGTATTTTCTTAGAATTTTTATAGAGTAAAATCATGAGGTAAGGAGGATCTAAAATTGGGGAAAACTGGTAACTTGCTATGTTTAGTGAATAAAATTAATAGCTCAGGTAAAAATTGATTAAATTGGGAACAAATGGGGGAGTGAGTCTTGTAGAAAGTAGGCATTCTTAGAGAGCAGTGACTCCTCCCTGAGGATTGGAATGGGGACTTCTGACTTCTCAAAGTGATCCAGATTTAATCCCTAAGGATTATATTTAAGGATCTGGTTGCATTTGTTTTGCCTTCTGTTCTGAGATCTGGCCCACAACAAGAGGTGTGTGTCTCCTCCAAGGTCATCAGACTTTTGGTTCTCTGTGCTGGCTTCTTTGAGGCCCTCGCCCTGACTGACTGCCTGCCTATATTTCAAACTAGCTCAATTGGCTGTAGCATTACTTCTCTTTCTGAACTTCTCCCAAAAGTTGTATTAGTCTGCTTGCTTATGTCTCATAAGTCCGTTAAGTCCTTCTGCATTTTTTTCATATTTTTGTACTACTGATGTTAAGATGGTACACTACCTAAATCCCAATATATCCTTAGTACTTCATGAGAACCATTAAAGTGTGTGTTCTAATTTTATTTTAGCTTTTCAAAATCATGTCTATTCTGAGTATTCAAAATTACTTAAAATTTTGACTATCCATGTATTAATTTTAATAGAGGCTATTAGAAACTATTTGGTTTAGAGATAATTTATGCAATGATAAACCTCTTAATTATGCATCTTCTTGTATATCATTTATTTGTCTTCATTTATATACTTTTAAAATTATGTTAGCACTTTATTTCTTTGATCTCAGGAATTAGTCTTGTATATATTTCATTAGATTTATTCTTGTAATTTTTTGAACCAAACTTAAGTTGATATAAATTCAGTAGAGTCTGTGAATGGCAGGCAATGCTTTTACTTTCTTTAAATAGGCTTAAGACATTTCAAAGGTTTTTTTTACTGTTTTGGACTTGCTTTACTTTTTAGTAAGTTAAAACAGATTTCCTACCTCGATATGGTATTTCATACAAGTGTTACAGGCAACTGAGCCTGTTACAAATATTATAGGCAGTCAGACAGGGCTAGGCCCTTGAGGAAGCTGGCACAAAGGACCAGATATCTAATGATTTTGGAAGGAACACACACATCTTGCTGTGGGCCAGGTCTCAGAACAGAAGGCAAAACAAATGCAACCACATCCTTAAGCTTAAATTTTAGGGATTAAATCTGGATCATTTTGAGAAGCCAAGAATCACCATTCCAATCCCCTCTAGGAGAAGTCACTGATCTCTAAGAATGCCCGCTTCCTATGTGACTTACTTTCCCATTTGTCCCCACTGTAATCAATTTTACCTAAACTGTGGATCTTATTGGCTAACTATAGTTATGTCCCACCTTATGCCATCTGCTTTGTGAGTTCCCAGTATTCCCCCACCTTGAACCCATGGTTTTACTCTATAAAAGTCCCTGCAAATGACCAAACCCTGGGCAACCCACTTGGGACCCCCTTCTGTCTCTCTTCAAACAGATGTTTTCTCTCAATAAATATATTCTACTCTTCACCTCGTTGTTCCTAAACTTCATTCTTCAGTTTTAGAGAACAGGAACTCACGGACATAGTAAGTTGGGAGTTTCGCTCCCCTATATCACAAGCAATGTGGAAGTGAACCAAATACTTTTTAGGAAAGCAATTATTTAAATTTCTATCAAGAATCAAGATTGAGACATACAGTTTTATCTAAATTTCTATTTTGTGATTCTAGCATTCCTATGATTGCCATCATATACAGAAAATATAGGATTTACTGAGTTACTTTATGCCTCAGTTGTTCGACACATATTTTTATTAACCTTATTGTAATCATAATTTATTGATGATTTTAAATGATCGTATAAATTTATAAATTCTATTAATTATTCATAGTGATTAAAGTCATTACTAAAAATATTCATGAATTGTTGTAGAGTTGTTTCATACATCAATATAACTTGAGTTCAAAAGAGGAAAATGCTCATAAGTCTTCTTTACTGCATACCTCAAATTATTCCTATTAGAGATGTCATAATGTCTTAAGTATGAATTTAAAGTAATTTATTGTTAATTTTTTCTGCATGGGTTATAGTTGTAATACAAAAGCATGAAAAATATATATCGTACATAATTTATTCAATTAATCTTACCATAGTTTATATGAAAGTTGCATTAATTACATAGGGCAAGATCTAGAAGTTCTGTGTGACTATAATATGTTGGAACAGTAATTTTTTCATGGCCCCTTGCATTTGCTGATTTCTCAGTGTGTAAATAATAGGATTCAGTAAGGGTGTGATAACAGTGTAAAATACAGCAAGGGTCTTATTGCTTGCAAAACTACTGAATGGCCAGGCATAAATAAAGATACAAGGTCCAAAGAACAGAGTGACCACAATGATGTGAGCAGACAATGTGGAGAGAGCCTTGGAGAGCCCTCGAGACGATCTTTGTTGGACAGTGATCAGAATGACAGTGTAAGAAATAAGTAACATGATGAAAGAGATAAAAGAAAGTAACCCACTGTCAGCAATAACAAATAACTCCAGGATATATGTTTCACTACAAGCAAGTCTGATCACTAGTGGAAGGTCACAAAATATGCTGTCTACAACATTGTAGCCACAGAAGGGCAAGTCCACTGTTAATACCATCTGGCTCATGGTGTGTATAAAACCAATTGTCCACGAAAGTATCACAAACCCACTGAGCAACCTGTAGCTCATGATGGTCCTGTAATATAGGGGTTTACATATGGCTATGTATCTGTCAAAGGCCATAACTATCAAAAGTGTCATCTCAGCACCCCCAAACAAGTGCATGAAAAACATTTGGGCCATGCAGCCCCAAATGGAGATAGTTTTGTGTTCAGCAAGCAAGTCTATGATCATCTTGGGTGTCGTGGCAGTGGACAGACACATGTCCAGAAAGGAGAGATTTCCAAGGAGAAAGTACATGGGGGAATGAAGGGTGGAAATAAATGTCACTGTGACCATAATGAGAATGTTTCCTACCACAGTAGCACCATAGATCAAGGAAAATGTCACAAAGAAGAAAATTTGAAGTTCCCATTGTCCAGAAAATCCTGATAGAATAAACTCAGTCACAACAGAATCATTTTTATGATTCATTTTCTCAAATGAGAAAGGGTCCAGTAGTTCTTTATACACAGAACAACTAAACAAAAGAAAATCATAATTAGTACCAATATATTACTATTTATTTGTATTAGTAGTGATAATTGTTGATGATATGAATGCCTTTCATTGTAAATATATCAACATTATATTTTAATTAGTGTAGGAACCAGTGTTTATAATTTGAAATTATTTTATTTACTATCTAACTTTAAACAATATTCATATAGTTATACAGTAATAAAAAGTATTTGAAAGAGTACAAATTCCATTTTCTATGACACTGCATATCAAATGATGCTTTCATTAATTAATTAATCAGAATTGTCACTACTTTGTTGTTATAGAAAGATGAATTTATCTTACTTTCTCATATTATAGTCTTCTATACATGTCTCTTTTTGAGGCTGTTATCCCAATATATAAAGAACAGACAAATCAAATGGAATTATATTATCCAAAATCTTTGAAGTAATTTACCAAAGTCATTTTATAGCTCTAAGACAAATAAGTGCAAAACCACAAATTAGGACCTAATTTATACATGATAGAATAAAATTTAATTCATTAAATTCTTTTTAGTTGATTTTGTGCAGTTTACTAAGAATTTTAAGAAAAATGGACAAGCTTCAGACCATTTTAAGCTTGTTTTTCAAATATTTGTGTCACCATTTTTCTCTTTAAGGATTTTGTGTGGCACAATTACACATATCTATAAAGTTGCTTAGAAATACATAGTAACATGACTTAGTCATGTGTATCAATTTTCTTCATGTAATTTATCATATGAAATCATCTTTACTCAGTGTTTTAAACTTTTCTCATAGAATTCATGATTGTTAGTGATTAAAATGTCACTATGTGCTAGTTCTGTTTTAAAGTTCCACATTAAAAGAACTCACATATTAAAGAACTCATAAAAACCCTAAGACGTAAGCAGAATTATTGCTTTCCTGTTGCATATACGGAAATTACTGTAAGGAAATAGAGAGTTTTTAATGATTATACAGCTAACAAGAATCAAAGCTGGATCCTATCAGCTTGACAATACAATATGGGTTTATAATAGCATACCTGGTTGTCCCTGAAATTGAAGGGATGCGTATTGAAACATAAAGCATTAAATATTCATTGAACATGAATGAATACGAAATCTTTCTGGAATATGATGCAGCAAATATGTTTAGATCCCTTGATGTTGTAATTAAGTGCAGTTTGTTTTCATGTACACAATGAATCAACATCTTTTAGAGATATTTCAATCTAGAGAGATTTGCTTATCAAATAAAAAATATAAAATAAGTCACACAAAAATATATTTAATATCATACACAGTATGTACAAAATATAAGAATTTTAATGGAGGCTAATACTAAGGAACATTTTCATTTCATATTATCTTCAAAACATGTAAAATGTAAAAGCAACTTCATTGTCACTAAAAAAAAGATGAGACAGAGAATGTGTGAGCAATTGTGAAAAGATCAGTGAATGGGTACTGGATATTTAGAAAAAGACTCAAGTAAGATATTAAGATTAACATAAACTGCCTCTTCTCTTCTTTCAAATGACTTGCAATTCTTTTTGTTTTCATCTTTACTCAGTTTCCTAAAAAATCCTAAATCAGGGCTGGGGATTTAGCTCAGTGGAGTAAGCACCTGCCTGGCAAGGGCAAAGTTGTTCTGGTTCTAAAAAGAAAAAAAAAATCTGGGGCTAGGGATTTAGCTCAGCGACATAAGCGCCTGCCTTGCAAGCAGGCAGTTGTGAGTTCTATCCCTGGTACCTGTGAACTACTTGCAAAAAGTTTCTCAATTATTTTCCTACCCTTTATATTTTTAGTAAGCACATAATGCTTGCAAATTAGAAAGAAAAATAAAAAGACAAAATGTGTGGGCCTTAAATAGCGATCTATGTGCCTGGGTAGGTGAGTGAAGATGACCACACTCCATACAGGCTGTGTGGGTTTATGTGACAAGCTAGTAATGTATGTTAACAAAATTACTCTTTTCAAACTTTCATGATGGTAATTTCAATACTGAGGTGTCACGGAGAAAGAATAAGAGTTGAAAAGTCATGGACAGAATGACAATTACAGCTGTACTTTGTGGATGAATTATTGAGGGGGTTTCACACGAAATTTCATGCCCTATGGTATGACACGATAACAACTTGGATAATAAATCTCTATAGCAAAGCATAAGTGGATTAAATAGACTTTAACTTTATTTTGACCTTTTACTTCAGAGAGAAATCCTACATTCTTCTCCTTTTATGCTTTCATAACTATTTTTCTCTTACTTTACAGAGCATGCTTTCTGAAAGAATTTTGTTAGAGCTACATGTGATGTGCTGATTCTTATATTATAAGCAAACAAAGACAATAGGAATGACACATAAGTTATATAGTTGATAGAAATTCTATTAGTAAGGAAAATTTTCTTCCCCCTGAATAATGAAGTACACATTTTATTATAATTATTTTGCTTAACAATTTATCATGTGCTCTGGAGAAATTAGAATTGAAACAATCATGTATTTTCACATATTATATAAAAATAAGAAATCAAGACTAAAATAGTTATGAGAGGCAATGAGTGAGTATTAGTTGATCTGGTATCAGTCTTAGTTTCCAGCTGGGCATAGGTTTGAGCACAATGCAAGCATGTATTGAATCAGAGTCATTCAAGCAAATCCAATTGCAAGCCTGAGAATTTTCCATATGAATACCTATTAGGAAAGGAATCAACCAAGACTTCCTTTATTGAAAGCTGGGTGTGAATATTTTTACTCTTGCCTATGAGGATACAATACATATTATTGAATACAAATAATGGGCAAATGATGAGTAAATGTTGATTTTTTTTTATTAGCCAATTGAAGAAAATAAAATCTTCGTGCTGATTTTGCTTTGCAAAATTATGCATACTTAAACTGAAACAGAGTTCAACATCAAATTATTATTCTTAGTAGAGTTCTGAAGCAAAAGACTACTTGTATAATTCTGTTTATAGGAAAGCTAGCCCTCATGGGGTACAGATTTTTGTCATGATAAAAATGATTTGAAGTAAAACTGAGGTGATGGTGCATTTTATGTAAATATAACTATACTCATTAAAATGTGCCCCAAATGGGTGATTTTATAATACATGAATTATATTTAATTAAATTTGAAACTTTTTATCTTTTACATTTGTCATAAGTTAAAATGATTTTTAATAAATTAATTCAATATTGTAAAAGTTTTCTAGCACTATCTAAATGCATCCTGAAACTCAAATATTTTCTTTCAGAGACAGTGAAAGACATACTGCACATCAGAATCAATGTAGTCAGTAATTTCTCAACATCTGTAATTTCTAAATGTTCTGTCCTTAGCCAGATGTGCTGGTGCATGCCTATAACCTCTGCATTTGGGTGGCTAGGCAGGAGGTCACAGTGAATTTGTGGCCAGCTTGGGCTACATGTGAGTTCAACCCCAGCCTGAGCATCATAGTAGAGCTCTGTGTCAAGAAAACAAAGGAAAATTAAAAAAAAAAACTTTTTAAACCCTATCCTTGGAATCCTACTCCTGACTATTTCATGGCTTATTCTTTTTGTACTAGGTTCATGAATTTTTGTATTTTCTTTATTCCCTTGAACATGAACATCTAAAGAGTTGCCCCCTTCTTATTGTAAGCTCTCATTTGTGCTTATGGCTTGATAATAAATTCCATGCAAATGTTTAGCTTTAGTAACCAATTCTCTCTCCCTTTGACTCTTTCTCTTGCTAATAGATTTTTCAATGTGTTCTATTAACCCCTTAAACTTGATGAAAAGAAAAATAACCCCAATTTGCAAAAACTGATGAGCTACCAGCTTCTCTATTATCTTCAGTGTTGGTATGAGTTTTCTGGATGATGGGAATTAATTTTTCCTAATTGCATTTACTTTCAATCAAATGACACATTTCATTTTACAATGGGATTTTGGAAACATATTTTCATTCAATTTTTACTGAAATTGTTGATTTCAGTTTACTGACAAATATGATTACGTGACTCTTTAATCAAAGGATTTGGGACCTTCAAAGATAAAATGTTGGGATTTTCTTCTAGTCAACAAAGAATTAATTAAAAAATCATCCTCAGTATATTAAACCCTCACTGAATTAACTTTCTGTAATTTTTTCACTCACCTTTTCTAAAGACACAAAGAAGGACCACATATTCAAAGAATCATTCAAAATGGAACAGTTGATATTGATACACTGTGATACTCTGCATATAATTCTACATACTGTTGTCTGTCTCTTTTTAAAGATGTGAACCACTTGCCAAGGAGTGGGAGATCTGTTGGAGTACTGGGAATTCAAACTTCTCTGGGAGTAGTTAAAACACTGAGCCTATTGCCCTAGATGGACTAGGAGAGATATTTATTCTAATTTTTGAAACTTTACTGAACTATATGGCTCTCTGGGTGGTGTCTTGATTAAAACTGTGAGCTGTGGTAAAGTGTAGGCTGCTTTCATACAATGGAACTTCCCTTTTTTACATTCCAAAAAACTAACCTATGAGCTTTCTTCTACCATTTTGTGGGTAATTTCTAAAAAAATAATCTTTATGGACTTTTATGTGCAAATTCCTTATTACAAACAAATTCATGTGTATATGTAATAAATTTACTCTTGAAAATATATATAAAACAAAAGACATTCAGGAAACAGATATTTCAAAATATAAATTATGTTAAATAATTTTAAAATTCATGGTAAAATGTCACAAATAACAGCATTTATTTTATTAACATATTGTTATAGGCAGCTGAGTTAGTTAGAAATATTGTAGGCAGTCAGACAGGGCTAGGTCCTCAAAGGAGCCAGTGCACATTTTTAGGTACCTTGCACCTTCTGCCATGGGCCAGATTTCAAAACAAAGGCATACAACTACATCCTAAGAATTGATACAGTCCAAATAGTTCTCTATCACCTTGAGGAAGTCAGGAGTCAACATCCCAAC